CAGGATTGCTTTGACATCAGATACACAAATTTGAATTCAGGTAGACCATTCTTATAGAAGTTGTATAGAAGTTGCAACAGTGCTAAAAAATAAATTACTTATTGCTTCTCGGATATATGATCACTGCAGCATCCCAGTCCTATAATCACCATTGGCATATGTCACACTCAACTTTGGACAAGCAAAGTCAATGGAGAAGCTGGGAATAAAATTTCAAGTCACTGTCATTTGATGTCTCACTTAACTACAACAATGGAAATGACATCATAAGTCAGGCATGGCCACTTGATCTTTTGCTTAACAACTGCATCACTTAGTGATAGATTTTTCCATTCCCAACTTATGAGGACTATCTGTACACAATGATGCCTTTTGGTTTGATTAATTTCAGGGTAGCCTCCTCTAAATTCACAAACTTTTTTTTTTAACATTTTAGACAATTATGGAGTGATGCATTTGTTTTTTTGAATACAGTGTTTTATTATTTTTTAAAATTCAACCAAATAATATTTTCACTTATCTATTTAAACATTTGTAAACCCAACCTTCAACCCCCCCTTCCCTCCCCCCTCCTCCCGACTTCCCAGAAGAAAAACAGGGTATAAATTTTACCAAACATACGCTAAAATATGCTAAGTTAATGCAAGACATTAAAACTCCCTAGACCCCTTAACTCCCCTTCTACAGATTATTCATCAACCTCCCTTTAAACTCAAAATAACATATAATCCTTTAGCCCTAAGAGTTTTTAAGATATTCTTAGTTCATTTACTTAATCATTTGACTCTTCCTCCTACTTTTGTTCTCAATATTCAAATATTTTTAAAAATCTTAATACAACAATAATTAAACCTTAATTAATCATTAATTGAACTCTTAATTCATTTACTTAATCATTATAATTAATCATTAATACATCAATAGTTAGACCAGAGAAAGTTAATCTTCCATTCTTCCTTTCTTTCTGTATTTTTTCCAGTCTTTCTTCCTCCCTCCTACTTTTATTTTGAGGAGGTTTTGAATTTTAACTGGGGGTTGATGTATCTTTAAAACTTGTCCCTTTCTTGGAACCATTTCCTCTGATTTAGAACCCCCATATTGACTCTTCTTGCTTATATAATCAGTCAGTTCATAGAACGAAGAATTAACTCGATCAGTTTGCAAAGAAAAGTCCAATTGTTGCATTTCAATTAATTGTGTGAAAGCCTCTGCCAAATCTTCTTTATCCTCTGAAACCTCGTGGGGCTGGTCAGTTTCTTCTTCTTTCTGCTCCAAATTATCAGTTAATTCCAAAAGGGCAGGAAGAAAGTTTGAAGATTCTTGAGAGCCAGCCAGTTCCAGCTTCTCTGTTTTGGTCAAAATGTCTCCTACATTGTCATTGTGCTTTCCTTCAAACACATCCTCAGTTGCTTTTATATCCTCCACCGGTTCTATAAATTTTTGTTCTATGATTGCTGTTAGGTTATTAATAATTACAATTTGGTTATTCATGGCTTCCTTTATAAATTCTGTAAGGTCTCTAAAAAAATCCTCCTGGCTCTGTGATTCAGTTCTCTGTGTCATTTCTGATGCCATTAGAGAACCTCCACCACTTTCAGAAACTCCTTGCTTGGAAGCCATATTATTTTAAAAGAATTTTTCTTTTCACAACCATAAAATCTCTTGAACAGCTTTCTCAGATTTATTTGTAATTTATCAAACAAGATAGTCTTTTCTACACCCAGCTCTCAAATCCCAGCAGTTTAAATCCAGTCTCTGAGCACAAATCTGTTAACAAGCACTTTTATTTCCAACTTTCACTTTCACACCCACAACGAAGACACCATTTCCACCTCCAGCTCAGCAAAATCAAGTAGAAACAATGTATCCCAGGAGTTAAGCATATACTTGCAAAAGCTTGTTCTCCTGCTTTTGTTCTGTCTGCTTTTTGAAATCAGTTAATCTTCTTCTTGACAGCAGAGTCGGTCGCTGGTGTCTGGCTCCGTTTAAACGGAGTCACCACGGATACGGAGCTTCAGTGGGCTGAGCGGGGAGCTCTCACTCTCCAAGCCCCTGGAATTACTCCAGGGGCTTCTGGGGAGTTCTACCCTCGCCCACTGGCTCTCCTCTCCTTCTTCTCCCAAAGGAGAGGTTTTTAAGCCATCTGACAGCTGATTAGCGCTGTCAGAAAGGCTCCAACGGAATCGTGGAGCTGGTGGTCCAAAAAGACCGTCCACAACGCCGGCGGTGCCAACCGGAAGCCTCGGAGTGATGCATTTGTATGACATACTGATTTTTCAGAAAATATTTCCTTGCATGCAGCAAATGTCAGAAACAATGAGACTCTGTAAACACAAACTTTTTGGCTAAATTAGAAAAATTAGCATTCGATCTACTCCATCTGATCTCAAAATTTCTAATGAAGGCATACAGAGGAACCTGGCAAATGTATAATATATTCTTTCATGACAAACACTCTAAAATGTGAAGGATCTGCAGCATTTTCTGGGATTTGCCAATTTCTATAGAAAATTCATTCCTCATTTTGCAGAATGCACCAGGTCACAGTCTCAACTCATAAAAGAAAAGTTGCAAGTGTGTATGGTTTACTCAAGAACAGATAGCATTCCAGGAACTGAAAAACTTTCCACTTCACAGCAGCTGCATGAAGACTCCATGCACAAATTCATGGTACTGACCAATGCTTTGATGTGGCAATTGGAGCCAAGAAAGAAAAGAAGGGGGCATATCTTCTGCAATGTGCATTTTATTTCAAGTTGCTTTTACTAGCAGAACAGAACTATAACATCTTCAGTAAGGACTTTCTTGTGATAAAAATCAGCATTCCAACACTGAAGACACTTCATGGAAAGAACTGCCCTTCTAATATAGGAATGTAACAAGTATGAAATTATAATGTTATGTGGGGTTGATCTTGAGAAACAGGAAGAAGAGCCACAGTCTGGGCAATGATCAGATAAGAGAAAGTTGGAATGACAGTGTAACAAACTTCTCAGAGTTTCTTGGGAAGATCCCTAGTTTCTTGGACTGTAAAAGCGAGGAGAGAGACATGATCTTTCAATTTTGCAAGATAATGTTAATATAATCTTGAAATAAGGATCGAGATAGTATCTCTTGATGTTCTTCTTGTCTGGGCTATCTCACAAGGCTAGCAGAAGTAGAAGCAATTCTGGACTCAAGACGAGAAGGGCTATCCAGAATCAAAGAGATTATGGGAAAGAGCAACAGACATCCATGGTCCACACTTAGTACACCAGTTTCATTTACAACTTTGAGGAAAACTCTATGATCTGTCAGCACCACAGAACGGCTATGGATCCTAAAATTAAAAGAGTTTTAATTTCCCAGTTAGAGACACTCACTGCCCAAATGGGCATGCAGCCTTTTGTTTAGCTTACTGTGGAGCTCTTGGCAACTGAAAGCAATATATTCACAAAGTCTTATTTAATCTGATTTATTGAAAGAAAAAAGGGATGGATAGCAGAAATCTTGACAACTGGATGCTTTCACTTTAATAAATATTTTTGTCTAAATTCGCTGGGATAGGGATCTCTTAATTCTCTTGCTAACAGCCATTTGATAGACAGGGGAAGCAGTTAACTGCTGGATTTTCCTGGTATTGAAGGAATATATCAAAGTTCTGCAAATCTTTATTATTACTTTATTCAAGTTCGGAGAAGGCTATAATATCAGTTGCTGGAGAACATGAGCAAGAAAGTGCCGCTGTCATGATGTACCATTTCAGTGGTGGGTTGCTACCGGTTCACCCCGATTCGGGAGAGCCGGTAGTAGAAATCTTCATAGGAGAGCGAACCGGTTCACTTTGAATGTCAGTTGGGTCCTCCCCACCGCTATACCTACCTTTATTTCTTTTGTTTTTTGGTCAGCTGTAAAGCGCGGCAGAGTTGATTGCCATGCCTCAGCTGTTTTTTTACTCAATGCGCTTGTGCAAAGCGGCGATCGCGCGCAAAGCACATGCGCGATGCGAACCGGTGGTAAAACTGAATAGAACCCACCACTACACCATATATGAATGCTTGGTTAGCTTCTGGAGAAAGAGCAGGAATGCAATACTAGAGAGGATTTGGTTTAATATAGCACAGTTCTCATTTCTTCCTATTGCCATGTTATTGTTATTGCATTGTGCAATTTATCCCTTGTCTTTTAAAAGGTATGATCCCAATGATGATGAATAAGAACAGAGTGTTTTATTGAGTAATGTTATTCCAGCTGATAACAATATGTGCCTTGTAATGAACATTTGGTTTTGGTTTACTTTTTTCACAAGGACTCAAGTGACAAATAAAATGAACAGTCTCAGTTCTTGACCTATTTCATGGTACTGTTTAACAGCCCCATCTTCACATGTATAGTGCCTATTACAGAAGCCTTTAAATGGTCTATGTGATTAGCAAGCTGATATTCTTAACACATTTTAGCTGTATTTGTTACTCTATGCCATTGAAAGAAACTATTATCTTTCCAATTACCACAGCACATCTCTGCAGAATTTTGTTCAGCTAAGCAACAAAAAGACTAGTGTGCAATTAAAACTCATGGATCATAAATATATATTAGACTTGTTTGTGGTGTTTGCACTATTTCCTTATTTCGGTTAAGACACTACAATTATTATTCAGTTGTATTAAGTTGTAAGTGGAGTTCCAAAAGCATAATGATAACTGTTCAAAAATCATTATTAATTTGAAAGGAATGGTAGCTGCATGTAAAAGGACATATATAATTTGTTTATATGTCCAATAAAGTGGTCCTGTGTCCAACTTTACAGAAAATCAACTTGTGTTTGAAGGATTGTTAAATGGAAACTCAGTTCAAAAATAAGACATCATAAAGAGAGCAGGGATCAGCAATAGTTAGCAACTGAATAGTAGGTCTACCATGCTATATGACTCTTTAATGTATATATTTATTTCCCCATGTTCTAAAGGAATTGACTGATATTTTGTGATATATATGCACATCTTTGTTTTTCAATCCAGATTCACAGTTAGAGGAACTTCCCACTCTTTTCCATTGTGCAGCTAAATTTGGATTAAAGAAACTTGCTGGACTTCTTCTCCAAGATCCCAAAGCCATTCAAGCGTGTAGCATTACTAACAAGTATGGAGAAAACCCAGCTCACATTGCAAAAAAGTATGGCCAGAAAGAAATTTGGAAGGTCCTTAAAGAATTACCAGTAAGTATCTGCTGCTACACATCGACATTACATTCATAATATGTTATGAAATAAATGGGAACACTAGTTACACGTTGAGAATTTTCATTGTGATAAAACATGGAGAGAAATCTGTGAACAGACACATTTGTGAATATTATAATCAGATTTATGAAAAAATTACATACACAATCTATAGGCATTCATTCTAATGATACATACATTATACTGTTTCATAATAATTTGATATTTTTGCTTTTTGAATGAAAAGACTAAAATGCATAATTATAGAGAATGAAACACATTATATGATCAACTATTATTTAGATATTTTTTTTTTGCATCAACTGCATGTTTGATTTTGCCAATTTAGTATTATTAAAAGGAATTGCATATTCTAACTTATTATGTAGTATAATCAGAGAGGGGTTGTCTTGTTTCACATTACCAAATTTATTCTAAGCATCATTGAAGGAAGGCAACTGCTTATCTTCTAAATTTCTAAAGGTTGGCATCAGGCAATGTAAAGCAGACATACAGTAGTTTCTTTCTTGAAAAGATATCGATGGGAATTAATACAAATAAATTAACTGCCATTGCAGCATTAACCTCAAAAGAGGAAGGAGGATGGGATGGGATGGGATGGGATGGGATGGGATGGGATGGGATGGGACGAGAGGGGAAGGGAGGGGAGGGGAGGAGAAAGAGGGGAGGGAAGAGGGGGAGGGGAGGGAAAAAGGAGAGGGAAGGGGGAGGGGGAGGAAATGAGAAATAGAAGCTGACATATTACAGTGCATATTAAACTATATCTTGAAGATGGTTCAACATAGAATATAAGGTAAGCTTCTTAGATGTGTCTGCGTAGCAATGACAGAGAATTCTGATTCTAAAAGCTGAGATTGAAAATAACTTTGTAAAGGGCAGGTTTTCAGCTGAACCTCCTCTCAGGGTTCCAAGTAACACCCCTAACCAAGTAAGACTCCGAGGCAAGCATTTCCTCAAAGTTCCATTTTATTAGATATGTCATATTCTGAAGTCTCCCAGGTTTTCCCCTCCCAAAGGAAAGTCAAAGCCCCTTCCCTTGCACCCACATGTCCATCACATGGTCCAATCAGATCACCATCCTAACTGGAGTAGTTTGGGTTTTTTTTTTAACTTTGGACCTTTTTGCCAGAATAATTAAACTAAAAGGTGGAATTATGTGCAACTGCCAAATGGTTTTCAGTAAATCTGGAAGTTTTTAAAAATCATGTTGTAGCATTTTTGTGGTATTTACTTTAAATACTGTACCATTACATTAGACATTTTCACCCAGTCCTTTTCAAGGAGAGCTCTTGTATGAAGCATGAACCAATGTTCTCAAAAGAGGAAGTAGGAAAAGGTCCACAGAAGAAAATAATAGTTCCCCCTTCCTTTTCTTTCTTACTTTTCTATCACTGCTAATTTTACATTACAGGACACGTGAAAATTCTGGTAAACAATTTTTTTTAACCAAAAGTCATCTGAGAAAGTTAATACATTGTGACATAGTGCAATAAGAGATTGCTTGTGTGGGAGATGGTACCTGCTGGGATCAGCTGCCATCTCATTACCTCCCAGCAATTCCATTTTGCTTGTATTCATTATTCCAAAAGAAAAATAGTCTCTATTTCAATCTCTCTACAATGGGAAATTAATTGGAAGAGATCATTGCACAACATAATATATATGTGGCTATTTCTTAGTTCCAAAGCCAAGAGACACAGCATAACAGATCTTTAAACAGACCCTTAAGCAGAAGGGTTGGGCCAAGAATGATTGTGATATAGGTTAATGGAAAATAGCTATTGAGCATAGTGGTTTAGAAGTGGAAAACTACTTTAGATACACCAAACAATGGAAAACTCTGATACTGATATACAATATGCTAATAAAAAGTAATGTTTGATCTGTCATGTGGCACCTGAGTCTTCTACTGCCCTACAAATAGATCACTTACCCGTGTTCTTCATAACCAGAGCAAAGTATATCCAAATCAGCGGTGAAATCTGGCTGGATCTATCCGGCTCGCGCGAACCAGCAGTTCGCGGTTTACTCTCTGTGCATGCGCAAAACAGGCATACACATGCATATTGCGTGCACACTCCCACGTGCTCCCGTTCCCAAACCAGTAGCAAAGGTAAGTGGATTTCACCACTGATCCAAATCAATATATATAAATAAACTCAAATATATAACTCCAGGATATAAGATCAAATTAGATCTGCAGAGCCTTCTCTACTGGAAATTAAAATGAATCGTTAGGTTGGAATTCACCACCTGGAAAAATAGCTGATCCTTGTCATCTTCCTTAGTTCATTAAAGATTGCCAAATGCTTTCTTTTTGCTATGCTAACATAATGGGCAGGGATATGGAGAAGTAGTTTTTCTTTCCATATGGCCTTGAGCCCAACAAACAGCTCAGCTTAATCTGCTTCCAAGAATTTTCCATTAGAATTTCAAAGCTGATCCTCAGATAGATCTTACATAAAATGAACATGAGGGTTCACTTTTTGTACTGTGAAATAGTTCAGGAATACACAAAATATTCAGGGTCCCCAAAGCCGCGCAAGAAATTGGCAGAGGTAGAAAGCCTACCTCAAAAAGAAGCAGAACAGTATTAAGATGTTACTGTTGATCAAAGAACAAGGAGACTTGGGTTCAAATTTGTCAGAGGCAATTAGCCCGGTTATCTTCCTGGGGTAATTGCTTGGATCATGGCATTTTCCTTGTGTATACCTTTGAAAAAATAAGACCGGAATACAACTTCTAATTAAACTCATATTTATTGTAAAGAAGAAAATAAAACATCTTACTAGTCTAAAAAAATTAAATTGTTACATTTTGATAAAGTTCCTACCGGCCACCTCTCTGTGGTCGGACTTCTTGGCAAGAGAACAAAGAAAAGTGAAGAAGCAAGTGAAAGAAAGGAATGCGGATACACGTAATTAGCTTACTGATAAGAAATTTTGGCAAGCTACGGAAAGTCTGACAGTCCAGAAATAATGAGTTCTGCTGGTAAATACAAAAACGCAGTGACAAAATTCCTATTCCGTCATGAAGCTCATTGGAGAACTACCTTTCTTCCAGCTTTGAATGTCTCTCTCTTATGAAAATGAGATAAAAGAAAGTCACTATGAATTATGTATGCCACACTGAGGTGCTGTTCTGAGGGCTCTCCCTGCCTTCAAATTGTCACATTAGGGCAGGGGTGAAATGTAAAATTTGTTACTACCGGTTCTGTGGGTGTGGCTTGGTGGGGGAGGGTAATGTGACTGGGTGGGCGTGGCCAACTTTTTTTTTTTTTTAACTTTTCAAAGCATTTTTTCTAATGCTTTGAAAAGCCTCTGCCGATCAGGCAACTCAGCTGGGATCGTCAGATAAATTTTATAAAAAATACCTCTCTGCTGATCAGGCAACTCAGCTGGGATCGTCAGAGACTTTTCAAAGCATTTTTTTACCACCTCTTCAGCCAAGAGGTTGCAGAAAAAAATGCTTTGAAAAGCCTCTGATGATCCCAGCTGAGCCACGTGATCATCAGATGCTTTTTTTTTTTACTTTTAAAAGCATTTTTTCATCGGAAGAGGTTGTAGAAAAAATGCTTTTAAAAGTAAAAAAAAAAAAGCCTCTGATGATCGTGCGGCTCAGCTGGGCATGAGGGGGGGCGCAGGGATTTTTGCTACTGGTTCTCCGAACCACCCACCGCCATCGCTACCAGAGCGGGCGATCCGGTCCGAACCGGGAGCATTTCACCTCTGCATTAGGGGCAGCACTGCAGAAAGAAAAATTTTCTGAACAGATTTTAAAAGTAGATGTGCAACCAAAACAATTTGTTTATTTAGTAGTATTAAATACATACACTTAGTCTGAAAAGCTTTGCTTGTTTGTTTTTTAAAAAATAATACAGACTATCCTGTAGATCAGGGGTCTCCAACCTTGGCAACTTTAAAGCTGGCAGACTTCAACTCCCAGAATTCCCCAGCCAGCTTTGCTTTGCTTTGCTGGCTGAGGAATTCTGGGAGTTGAAGTCCTCCAGGCTTAAAGTTGCCAAGGTTGGAGACCTCTGCTGTAGATGACTTTTGCATTGCCTGATATGAACAAAATTATTTCAGTTTGATATTTTCCTCAAAGCTTTACAAATATTTTAATTTTTCAGCTAATAATATATAGTAGTATCTACATATCTTCAATAAATTGATTATTTTTGCTGTTATCTTTAATTCAAACAACAATGTACACCTATAATAACATATTATCACATTCTTTTCTCTTTTTGTAGTACTTTGAATTTTTCATTGCCTGTAACAAATATAGCTAGTCAAAAGAAAAAAAAAATACAAACTGTAGTCAAATAACTGGATAACTGGAGTTCTCATTATTTCTTCCAAAAACATATACATCAGTAGAAAAGAGTCAGATTGATACTGGATCTATCTTAGCAACATCAATGGAATTTAGATGTAATCATCAAAATTCATCTGGCAGGATACGTAGAGGCTATTTGGTGGTTATGAGTTTATTCTGGAATTTGCTTCAGGGAATCTTGTCCCACTGTTGCATTGATACAGACTTTCCTTTTGGGAGGAAGATCCAGAGATAGACAGAATTACTTTTTTGCTGCTATAATGGTTGGATTGTATTTCCTCATTTTGATTGGTGGTGCATATTATCACATTCTTATTCCCATTCATTTGAATCTGTTCTGTCAGTGGGGGGGGGAACCACCTCTATCAATCTTACTTCAATTAAAGTTGACCTGGGTATTGAGATTCATCGGGGAGACTCTGTTTGTGGCTTCATTTGTTATTATGACTCATGAAGTCAGAGCTTCATTAGGGTCACAGCACTACATCTTGCTGAAAATGTAAACCATCATTCAGGATCTAGCATGAACTAGTCAAGGATAAGACTCAGATATATATGGTAAGTTGTTTTTACTGTAGATGCAAGAAGCTCTAATAATGAAAATTAGCTACTGCAAAGCCTAGTAATCAAGTCCACTA